CCTGTAATTTATTTGCCTGTCATCCTCCATATACTGAGTGGCACCTGTGAAAGTCAAATTCGGAGCAGCAAGCTGGGTTAGGTTGAAACTGAGGCTGCACCACATCGTCACTTGTTGAAACACTGTCATATGCACTGGTGACTTACCGCGGTCACAATCCTCGTTAGCAAAGGCGCCTTCGAGGAGGTTGCTGGATATACACTTTGAGACGGTTTATTCGAGAAAGGCGTGCCCGATAAACACGCAGATGTCATGAGAGCATTGTGCGCGCATAGTTTAGGCAGACTGAGAGCTTATGGCAAGTAGCTGTCGCCCTTCAACCCCTTCAGCTGTATGAGACAGGTTTGCCGGCAGTCGGTCATGTTTAGTTTTGTCATAAATGAAGTCATGGAAACTGCGTTCACTGGAAAAGACATAGGCGTCGTTGTTCCCAGGTAATCAACTTCACTTGGAGTACGTCGACGACATTGCTTTCATCTCTATCAGTTCTTAAACGTGCCAAGCAGCACTGAACAATTTCGCTCTGGTTGTCAATCCTTTCGGGTAATACCTTGCATGCTGGAAATGCAAAGCCATTCTCTGAGATTGGTAGATCCACTCTTGCACTGATCTTTAGTGGTGAGCAGTTAAAATTCGTCCAGAAATGCAGGTATCTAGGCAGTTAGGTTAGCGCCGGTAGTAAAGAAAAGGAGACCACGAACCGCATCACAAAAGGTTGAGGCGCTTTATCAATCTCCGTAACCAGTGGCACAGGCGCGACGTTCCTATCAGTTCTGAACGGTAGTTTGTAATGCATCCGTCCGTTCAACACCCCTGTACGGAGGTAAAACCTTGCCCATCAGATCGACAGATATAAACATCGTGTAACGTTCAACCAACGCTGCCTTCGCAACTTAGCTTGTCGGGTGGAAAGAGCGCGTGAACAATGAGCGCGCTCGGTGTCTGGTATATGGTGCAACAGCCGGCCCGTAGTCTTAAGGGTTACAAGCCTGCCTTGTAATACAAGGACGCGGGTTCGAGCATGCGTAGGGATCGGGCGACTAATGCAGTAGTCAAAGCCCACGTGTGACTGATTATGGTTGATCGGCAGCGAAGCGTTGGTAAAGCCTACCGGTACATTGATGATGCCATTTACGTGGTGTAAGAAGAGCGACGGAGCAGCTGAGCATCATCACCATTACACGATAGCTGGGGGTGAGGAACACATCATAGTTAATGTGCCGCAATATAAAAAAGATAAGATACAGAAAGCTACATACTAGAAAAAGGTCCGGAAAAAAATAGTGTCAAATAGCATATGATGCACTGGGTATGAGATCGCAATTGATATGGGAATCTAAAAGGCACGTGGTTGACAAACACCACTGTGACTGGCTCTTTGCCATATCACCAAGTGGATCCAAGCAAACGTGTTCTTCGGACCCCAGCCCGGCAGTGGGGATGGACCAGCCAAAGCCAACTTCGAAGTTGGGGTTTTCATTTCACCGACAAACCCAGCGCTTAGTCTCCCCTTCTGTACTTCCATCCAGACGCCTGGCTCGAAAACAACGCAAGTCGCGGGAGTCGGTGAGCTAGCATGCACAACACGTGGCCCAGCCATCGGATTCAGTTGCATAAGTGTTGTGCGATTCAATTCTTCTTCCTGTGCCATAAACAAGGCGTCGAACAGGCACATTGCTTACATGGTGTTCCGACCAGATAGTAGCCAAAATGCGGAAGACCGGCGACCGAACGTAACTAGCGTCTTTATGTCGGCTGATCTAATGGGCCAAGTTTCACAACCGTAAAGGAGAGTTGAACAGACGGCTGCACTGTCAACTATAACCTTAAGAGTGATGTCGCGCCAGCGCCATAGGTAAAGATTGGTAAAAGCGCATCGTGACTTCGCTATACGGTTTGTGACCTCGTTTTCAATTCCAACGGAGCTGATACAACTGCCAAAGCAGTTGAATTTTTGAACGACTTCCAGCTGATCCTCACCAGCGGTCAGCGCAGGAGTGGGTCTTTGCGAATCTTGGAGAAGGACTGCATTGCAAGGGAGCAAAACGATTGAAAGCCAGTGCTAATCTGTGCAGTGCAGGTTGACACCTTCGAGAGCTATCACAAAGTAGACCAATGTCGTCGGCATACCCAAGTCAAGAAATCGTCCACCTGGGAGCAAATTCACATCAAGTCGTGTTCTGTGAACACGGTCCCCATGAGTTCATCAATGGCGAAGTTGAAGAAGAATGGTGACAGCGATTATCCTTGCCCCACACTGCTGGAGTTATTGAAGGGCTGCAACAGCTTGCCGTAAGCCCTCTCGCTGCGCGCGTAAAGTGCCCACATAAACTTTATACATTTCTCGGGCACATTCTTCCTGAGCAGTCCCAAAGTGCGCATCGAGCAACCAAATTGAAGGCAACTTTGATGTCTAGGAACAACGGTGACGGTGCTGTAACAATTGGTGTAAAGTAAGGATGCGATCAATGCAGCCCAAACCTAGACGAAAACTTGTTTGCTTCTCAAGAATCTGGCTTTCACGAGTGCCAGTCAGTGAAGGATGACAGAGACAAGCAATTTGGAAACGATGGAGAGACTTATTCCTCTATGGTTGCCGCATTCTGAACGTTAGCATCTCTTGAAATTGCGACTAGAACAGAGTGACTCCAGCAGGTTGGGACAGTTTTCCGCTCCCACAATTTCACTAGTAACTACGTAAATCATTCACAAGAGCATGGCCCCAAATTCGAAGAGGGGTGGATGGAGATAAGGTAGTCCCCCGGCATGAATTCACTTCAACAGTTCTATTTCACATTCGACTTCTTGGAAAGAAGGTGGATCCAAAGGGACAGTCCAGGGAGCAGGGCGATCGCTGGCAGACCAATTAAATTGCCTCGCACTTTGGGCTCGTACAGGGTGAACTGTCCGGAGATACTTATAAGATAGAATAAATATCCCAGACAATTGCTTCACGAACTCATCAACAGCAGTACATCAGCCATTTGAACTGACGCTCCTCTGCCATACAACCATAACGACCTACGGAACAAAGCGGAGGTGGATGGAAGAAGAGGAGAGGTGGCCAAGCAATGACTTGGTTGAGAGCATTGAAGTCCCTCACTTTGGAGCTAGCCTCGGTTGGAGCGTCACGGCTCCCTGGTTGGGGCCCAAAAGACGGTGAACACGTTTGGCTAGATACACCTGCTGACATGGCAAGGAACCGATCTCAATGGCGTTCCTGCAGTGAGTTTCTTTGTCCCTCCACAACCCTTTTAGTCTCCCCCTTCAACTACGATCTCATTTCGTAGCGCAAAATATAATAACTTTTTTTAATTTTTGCCTAGTAGCCGGCTGGTAGCTTACCGGAACGATGCCTATCCGTTGCTGGTAGCACAGCTGGCATGCAACTGTTGTATTTAGTCTTCCCTTTTCCTTTAAGTATTGTATGTATGTATTTCCTTTATGTATTGTGGCACAATAGCGGAGGTGTTTCCCACCTCTAGCTGACGTGTTTAATGATGATGATGACGGAACGAAGCAGAAAGACTCACCAGAAAGGTTTAATGAAATAAGCAATCATTCCGAATCAAGGCGGCTACACCTTGTTAACAAAATACTATCAAAAGTAGATGGCTATCGTGCAAAGATAAAGTGGCTTCGGCAAGACAGCTTTTTTTGCGACTTTCACTGCCCCGCGCCATAAGCAGCAATTAAGTCGCAGATAATTTAGCATCACACACACCATACAAGCAGTCCGAGTACAAGACAGAAGCACGTGAGCCATGTCCTGTAGTGTCTAGCAAAGCACAAGGTGAGTCACGTGGACTTCAGCCTGGGAAGCGAGACGGACCGACGGTACTCAGTTTAGTCGTCAGTGACTTCATTTCCCGCTGCCAAATTAATTTTTGCCCACCTCGGACATTGCGCCACCCTAGTTCTGGCAAGCAGTGACCATATATGTGTAGTATGTGCCCAAGTTAGCGCAACTTATTCAGTGCTACTTGTGGCTAGTTTGGTTATCACTGCCTAGTAGTCTCCTACATAGATCATAGTTGCGGACACGTTGGTGTCACCCGACACTAGAAATGTTCCGCAGACAGCGAAGGTGAGACTTGAAGGCGCTTAGACTTTGAGATCGAAGGGGCCAAATCTCACTATAGTGTAGGACGGCTCATACCGTGACTTTGTAAATACGGACTTTCAGACTGAGGGGAACTACTTCCTGTCGCGGATTCAGGAAGACAGTTCTCGTTTTTGCACTACGTGAACTGACTTCAGTTGCCTTGCGCTTATCCTTGCTGATACAGCCGTCAAGGTAAGTGAATTGATCAACTACCTCGAGCACTTCGCTATGAAGGATCAAGGGGTCACCAAGCGAGTGGCTATCCTGAAACAACATTACCATTTGAAGGTGCGAAGCGCATACTAAATAATGGGATCGTTCTAGAGGATAATCAGGGTAGATTGCACCGCCCCAATGGCGTTAGACAACAGGATATGGTCCGCATAAACAAGATCAAATAGCCTTTCATCAAGGAACACTTTAAGTTCGAGCCCACGACGAAATTGAACAATAATGGGAAAATTGGACAACCCCGACGAACGCCACTTGTTGTCGGAAAGATCCGACAGGTCACCGTAGAGCCTGACGCGGCTGTCTTATCATCTCTTAGCCACAACCGGCCCGCAGCCCAGAGGTAAAAAGCTTGTATCGTAACGTTGCGGCGCCGGTTCGGGCCTGCGGAGGGTCAGGGTGACTCTCGCAGTCTCCTAAGCCCACGTGCAACCGGTAGTGGTTGCGCGGCAGCGAAGCGTCGGTACTGCGTACCGGCGTACTGCTGATTTCTTTTCCTTCCTTTAGCCACGGCGCTTTCTTCAAAATACGAGGAAAGTTGGGGAAAATGAGCCATGTTTGCCATCAAGAATGAAAGGTAAAACCTGAAGGCAAAAAGTATAAAAGAAATCGCTACAATTACAACAATTTGTGCACATTTCGAAGCAATGTATTCACGACGTACCTTGTTCCAAATCGTAAGCACGCTGTCGAACGCATTGTATTAGATCATGTCGGGGTAAGTCCGGATTTTGTTTAATCATTTGAGGTACCATGAGAATACATAATTTCCGAACTTCTTTGTCAATATCGTTAAAACGACCGAGTAGAGCATTCCAGAGACTTGGATTTTGTTCGTGTAGTAAGATTCTCTAACAGTTTGTGATAACGATATAAACATACCTGCTCAGAGAATAAACGTGCAAGCAGTCTAAAAGCTCGCTTTCGATCACGAGCAGATGGGGACTTTAGCCTTAACTCCACAGTCGGCAGTACAGGGGCGATTAAACTATGTTGAATCTTGTGTAGTGCGTAAATAATAAGAAACGCGTGTTCCCCGAAACCATGAGAGGAGGAATCCTCTGGAGTGCCATTAGAAGTGGCAGGATTAGTGAGAGCGTCACAGGGAGAGTCGGTATGACAAAGGCCAGCCGATGGGTCGCGTGGCTGTTCCGATCCAGAAATCAAAGAACTTTGAAGCAACTAATGTGTAAACAGCATAATGGTGAACGAACCATTTGAATTAAGTATTCCAAATGCCTAGATGACCGCAAAATAATATCCCGTGCGAAAGAATGCTGTTCTGGTTGTGCACTCTTAGCGGGTTCAATCAAAAACTCCAAGAGATATGTAACGATATCACGAGATAACAGGTTCTCGGAATGGACTATGATGTTGACCACCATATCAAGCAGCATTTGTCTGACGAAAGAAGGCTCTGTCCATGCCCAAGCTGGTAAATTTCTTAGGCCATTGAGTTAATTAATCGAAACATACTTGATTATGGAGAAAGCTGTCTGGATGCATTTAAAAAGAATCTCCTCATCATCCGCTAACGAACACCACAAGAACAGATCCATCTGACAGCATAACTAGTGGAAGCATTATCACTAATTTGACTTACGTAAAGTATGGCGTGAAGCTTGGGGTAGGCAACATCCCCTTTGGATTTTAGCGAAGAAAGTCGCTGGATGCAATTCAAAAGGAATATAAGGGTTTTCTTCTAATACGAAAACATTACATTTTGTACCTTTGTAAGCTCTTTTTCCTCAAGCATCTCCTCGAAGGGACTTCGGGGGCAAAATAGTTTCAGCAACTTGCATAAGCAAACGCCAACCCGCAGCTGTATGTCCGTATCGGCATGGTGTGTATACTCAGGTGATATCAGCAACAAAGCAAGCCCTCTGAATGATTCATGAGGTGGGGAGTTAACTGCGCCTTCGGTATCATGGGGAGTATCCTCAGAAAAGGTGTCCAAGTCAGCCAACTTGTCGAAACCGTTGCTCAAGTCCTAAAGCATAAACAAGAAAGATAAAGCAGCTTACGTTTAACCTTTTCCTAAGCTCATCAAGTTTCAAAGAGACTGACAGTTCTTTGCAACCAGGAGGGTAATTCACCGAGAAGCCTAATGGTGCCATTTCGCGGACGATCTGTTCGCAGATGTCGAACAAAGTAGTTCCGGTTATGTTGCTTCGGTACAGGTAAGCTGACGACACCAGAAGATGATTTGGTTGTTAGGTACAAATTGGGAATGTTACTTATGCACTATTTATAACTTGCGATGGTATTTGGTTACCCACTGTACTTGTTAATGCACATTACTGTCTATTCATTATCGGGCTACATGTTCAAGTTCAGATGGGACTGGAACGATAGGGGAATCCCGTGAGTGTTCCATTTTGAGTGAGCCAGGACTTGATGAAGTACACAGTTCTTGATGGATCTAAAACTTAACAACCGTATCGTAACCTGGCCAACCATTTAATGCCCACGTTTCCTGCCCTAGCAGTCCCTTCTGTGGCAGTCACGTGAAGTAAACACAGGATAAGCGAAATCGTAGGTACACCGTAAGGAATTGCACTTAATATAAGCAAAAAACACCAGGCGTGAAGAAAAGTTGAGAAAAGAAAATCAAGTACGAAGTTAACGTTCAATTCATGTTCAAGTTCAGATTGGACTGCAACGATAGGATGAATCCACTAAGTATTCCTGCTTGAACGAAACCTTGATCCTGCAGTTGATAGGGGGCTTCGACTTATTAGTGGAGCAAAAAAGAAAACACCCGGAACACACCCTGGTCTACCAATTAAAGGCCCACGTTCAAGTTCAAGTTTAGGCATTAGTTGTCCCTGCTATTCCAAGTATGTGAAGTAAGTCAAAGAGGAAGCTAAGTCGAACGTAAAGAGCTAGGGAAATCATTCGAATGAAAGTAGGATAAAATTGATGAGGGAAAGTAAAGAAAATAGGATAGCAAAATGAAGATGGGTGTAAGTCAGCAAAAGGAAAATTTTCGTGTTGCCACCACACAGCATCTAGTTGATGCTCAAATCACATAACCGTAACTTCCCTGATAATATCTTCTAGAAGCATGTTCCAGCGCTGGGGTACAACGCGCTAATGTCGTCTCCGTTCTAATCCTATCGGACCGCGGTCAGCACAGCTTTATACAACGCCCGGGGAGACCAGTTAATCTAGCAGGACTAAATAGCCAGGACAAATCCAGTCCAACAATTCGGCAACGTACGGTAGGTTAGGAAAAGGTCCCCACTAATCCTTCGCTAATGTATTGAATGCATCCTCAAACGTAGCAGGCGTCTGGGGTACATTTGTCCTCGTGACCCATCGTTTAACATAGTTCCGACTGGCAACACACAATCTAGACCTGGGCTCAGTATTCTAAGGTCGTATGAACACTTAGAAATGCTTTGGAAACCTCTAAACCATTAGGGTCACGAACGAAAGACGGATGAACCAAAACGGTCAGCACCCTTTACTAGCCGCCAGCTTCAGTCTTCTCAAGCGTGTAGAGTGGAACGTTGGACGACGTCTAGATCAGCTTCATGAGTCCAAGGAGGAAGCCCAATCATCGTTAACATGAATTGTGGAGGAATCCGGCGCTCTGCTACGCAGCACTGAAGACTTTGCCCGGTTTCTGGACAGCCACCCCAGGTCAGGCCCTTCCCGGAGTAGATCCGGAGCTGTCTGAAGAGCGGCGGGGCTTCGATGCACCTCAACGATATCCCAGAGCTTTAGATCATCATCAGCAGGTTTCGACGCGTTACCCTATGGGCCTAAACTTGGCAGAGCAAGTTTAATTTCAAGTAGTAAGAGTAAAGGGATTAGCTTTCCGCCTACGCCGTTATTTAACATCTGTTGATGCAAGATTATTAGTTTGTAGGAGCCATGCGTGTCCACATATGATATACTGCTTCTTTATATGCAGCAACCTACAGAAGATGGACTGTACTCGGTTTTACATGCTCCGTGACGCCCTACAAAATTGTTGCCTTCAGCGCAGCAAGCTCTGTTATCGGCGGAGATGTGAACACAGAAAAATCCAGCCCCTTCGACAAAGAAGCATTATGCTTAACCTGTGCTTCATACACCAGCTGGTTCATAAGCGCCTGCACAGTACTATCGCCTGTCTGAAACTAAGCAGCGCCTTTGAACATAAACCGTGAAACCACAGCCACTTTATTATTCTGCTAAGGGCGAAGTAGCGCCTGTCAGCTCGTAATTTATCTTAGTTGCGCACGTAAAAACATGGAACAGATCACTTTCCAGACTAAGAGGAATCCATAACACAGGCATTCAGGAAGAAGATACCAAAAAGTTTACGTACTGACAACCTATAACACATCTTAATAGCTGCGATTCACGAGGCCAATTCTATGCATCTGGCTCCGATGTACTTTGAGAACGCTTAAGATATATTGCTGGCCACCCAAGAACTTTGAGCGCACAATTCGCCCACGTTCACTGTAGTTCCCCTCTTAACATTTAAGAGAAGGTAGCCGTGTCGGTCGCAGGCATTTGTTGGGTTTTAAGAATAAACTCCAGAGTACAAGATGCCTTTGTCAACACTGACTTCTTTATGCCCCTTTGCCTTCGCCTACATACCCTCCAGCCTATAGACTGCACCATGGGAAGGGTAGACGTTACCACGTAAACAACCGGTAAAGGATACTTAGCTTTTTAAAGCACAATGAATTATCTCCAGCACTGGCCACATGCTCGATGCCAAAGCAAACCAACAAGTGCACAGCCTTAGTATTTGGACCGGCTATTTCATGAATATGATGCCACTGTGCATATAGCATACCGAGTGGCAAAACCAAGCCATCGACGTAAGCAAGCTTAATTCCCAACTTCTTCCTTCACCTGCATCCTTCTGCTTTCACGTTATCAAATACCGCCTTCATAGCCCCCAGGAGATCTCAGTTATATCAGTCGTTCACATCCTAAGGACGCTGACTAGATAAAGGAGTACAAAATATATGTAGCCATTTCTGATAAGTTTAGGAATGGTTTCGGTTCCCACACTGACACTTCCATCGAAAGGCTGCCAGCACAAACCGGTAATTTCACCCCACGGCTTCTCACCTTCAACGACCACTTGGTCAATGCGCAAATGGCTCAAAAGCCTTAGTCTACTGACTGGCAGCTTCACAATTCCGTAGACACCCCTCATCCGGAATATGGAAAGACAATAACGAATCAAGCCGAGCACCTAAGCTTCAGTCCTTACTTCTTTTCCACACCGTTCCATAGTCTTCTGCGTTAAATAAAAAATGGTTTACGCTCGAATTCAAAGAGGCAACCCAAAACACTTCCAAATTCTTTGACCATTGGGTCCGTGAAAGATATTAGGCTTAGGACAGTTAAGGTGCGCCTAGCAATGCATGCAATCTGTCGACACATATGGAGCACAAACAGTTAAGATCAGTATTGTCCCAAGCATTGTCCACAGGCTTTCAAGCAGGAGATACGAAATTTTATGTGCCTGGATAACATAAGACGCCTTTTCAACATCTGTGCTCCTTATGACAACCTTTTTGAGACCGGCCCCGATGGGGCATAGATCACATTTTGGTCAGCTCTAGCGCAACTTTGTATTGCGCTCAACTAGGCTCCATGACAGGAGCATCTTGGGTTCACAGGTCCTCCCCATACTTTGCGGTCCCTGTCACACTACTTGAGAGACCTTGGCCCGATCAGCTGCACGCATCTTACAGATGTCAGGACTGCTAATCCGACCACAAAAGGTATTCAGCCTACCACAGTAGTAGCTGAGCGCTTTACTGGCTCCCACCGACAATTAGTTAAATGGGAAGTCTTGAAATAGTAGACGCTACCGCAGAGGCAACCTGGAAACACTTATCGGTAGCTTAAACCCTTTGAAAGCTCCTTCTCGACGCCCAGTTTCTTACTGCTCAACAGCTCAGCAAGTAAAGCAGCCTAGTACTATTGAATGGGAGCATCGTAAGCCTGTAGGCACTGACCAGGTAGGATATTGCAAAGCAATGGGAAAGCAATCCGAACGGACAAACTTTACTTCGCTTCTCTCTTCTCTTCTACACTTTGGTTCCTTCGTCTCCATCTTTACCCCTTAGTATTTTCGAAATACCTAGTCCACTAGGTCTCTTGCGAATACTTATACTTGTGACCCATGAGTCACGTCTACTAAAACATTTTAACAACATTAAGCCTAATGTGAAATGCCAGGTTCTAGCGTTGTTGCCCTAATTGAAGCTTTTTCATTAAGTCTGAGCACTAGTTACTATAGTCAGCAGTTTCCAAACACCATCAGTAGGTAAGCCGCAAAATAAAAAAATATATTTTTCTTATTGTTGACAATGAGCGCACTTTAAAAGTTCTAGACCCAATAAGCAGACATTTTGCTCTCCACTTATACTCTCTTGGCCCCATATACTTAGCTTTATCTGGTATACATGTGCCTTTCGCTATTGTCAACACTAGTAGACAGGCATAATGAAAACCAGATCCTCTACTTTAACTGCTTTTGCTCGTAAAACACTAGCATTTCCAGATTTCATTTCACTGGCACGAAAGCTTACCAACGACAGAGAGGCCCCTGTCACACTGGCTGGCTGGAGCACCAGAAACTTTCCATTACCACTTTTCTTATCTTGGCCGTCCGTGTGTCATTTATCTTTTAGCTGGCTCCAAAGCCTACCATGCGCTATGCGTAATGGCGGGTGAACGACCAGCTCCCACTGGTTTTTGTTACTATTCTACTCCTGATTTACCTTATCGCTCTTTGCTTAGGGTGCTAGAACAGCTCTTGCCAGGAAAATCACAAAAGAAATAGTCGGTGTGACATTAGAGTACCAGTTAACATTATCAACTGGATGAACACCGCCGGCACTATCTTCGGAACTTAAAAATGGAGAGAAATAAATCGAAATTCATCAAAGAGCTGCACAATCGTGTGCATCTACACATGAGGCATAACAATACCTCAAGTGTGAGCAAGCTCAACCACCAGAAGTAGAGTTGTTAAAGCCCAACCAATGTAGACCAAAACGGATTTCACGCCCAAATGCAAATAGCTAAATTTTACTAAATTTTCCCATGCTTATTTCTTTATTATTGGTGGCAGGCTCCTATAGCTCACTGATGTTAGAGACGGATCCCATGAATATAGAAAATCAGCTCTAAGGGATAAATCTTGTGATGTTTAGCTAAGTAATG